ATATATATATATATATATCTTTAAGTAATTTGGATATTGATTCTAATTGCGTGTAGGCGTGAGTGCATTAAATGTAAAAGAGACAAAATGTTTGGAAGATATCATTTTCTGATGGATGTGGTTAATATTGTCGTAAAAAGGTACGAATGCTCTCACGTTTAGTAGTAGGAAATTGAGCAAAATATTATGTATTCGCAAGTTGGATGAGGGACAGTACTATTTATGCTGAAATTGACGGGTGGATGCATTTTTATAGAGAAAATATTTAATATAGTGGAGAATGAAAGTGTACCTTTAGGTGTTGAAAGAATGATTAAATTGATGAAAGTTCGGCTCGAATATAATTTTTAGTATAACAGCAATGTAATTAAAGTGAAACAGTATTGGTAAATGGATATTTGGAAGAATGTAATGTGTAACAACTCTGGTTTTCAAGTATTTTATTTTGATAATAGAAAAAGTTTTGTGAAGACGGTATTCACCGTGATATCGGTTTTTTGGAGGTATTATAATCTTGTTATTTTCATTTTTTATAGTCGATGACTTGGTGGTATTAGGACTTAGTAGTTATATTTTCCAGTTAAAACTTCAAAAAATGATTTACAACATTTCTTATATAGAGTTTAGCACACAATTCGTTTAAAAAATTCATAACATCGTTCACACTTTCAATGTATCCAAACAGTGTTGATGTTCCAGGAATCCACTCTTTCATACTGGTACTATTACACTCTTTATATGTGGAAAATAGTTATTTGATAGGGATTTGTTCACTGGTGTTTTTGGAATGAGAGTGTGTCAAGTTGGAGTGACCTATTCTTAATCTGGTCAAAATACATTGAATCTTCCTGTTCTTGATGCATGCTTGATGATCCCACGCATTGTTACGGACCAAGTGTAGATATGACCTTGAGTTTTCCCAAATTATTTTCCATTTTTGCCAGATGCATTAGTTTGAAGCCTTTTTTTATTCTTCTACAGTAATTGGTTCTTTTGTACAATCGATTCCTTGGAAAATGGCTTTTTTTGCTGCTGAGTCTGCATTTTCACTCCCTAATATCCCTTGATGAGCCGGAACCTATGCCAACACTATTTTGATGTTACGTTCCATGAAATGTTGTAGTTTTCTTTGTATTATTTGTATTCTTGAATTTTTGTTCCCATGGTTCTTTAATGCATATTAAGTTGCTTTGGAATCAGTAAAAATCATGGCTCTGCTTACTTCCGAATCGGTGATTAGATCTATGGCTTTATCTATAGCGAAGACTTCTCAGGAAAATATTGAAAACGAATCTGGCAATTTGAAGAGAAGTATAATCTTATAAGTGGTCAATGGCTCCTCTCCGCCAGCCGCTATTTATCAATGATCCTAAAATACCTACTCTAATTTAATTAAAATTACTTTAACTATTTTTAAAGTCTATTGATTGATCGATGATTTTTTAAAAGTCGATTATTTTTAAAAGCTGCAAGATATTTTCTTTATAAATACGCGATAAGAAAAGAATATGAAAAAGAGTTTTGTAATGTGACAATTGATTAAAAGTATTTGTATTACATATAAAACTCCGCAAAAATAATATATGTGTGCATATGCATTTTATTTTTTATTTTAGATTTGTTTATTATTTTCAATTATAAACAAAAAGAAGTGTGGGGATGAGAACCCCAATAGGAATAAAATTTAATAGTTTTAGTGAGAAAGTGTTTTAGTGAGTACGCGCGAAAGACTGGGCACTTCCAGATTGGAGGAAGGCGGAGAGAGATGGGGTAGGACGTAGGAGATATATAATAGAATGGCTAGAGGTAGGCTCCTCTGTAGAGCATGAATAGATGGAATTCTTCTTTCCGTTTAACAAAAGATTGTGATTAATACCCCGCCAGCGTGGTGTTCTGCAGCTAATTAAATACATAACCCGCTTCCATATCTTCCAATGTTGCCTCTAACTCGAAGCATTGTATGGCAGTGAAGGTGTAACGTGAGGAGGGGTTAAGGGGGAACCTCAAGTGATTGCTTTTCGCACATTCCGTGGATCCTTCGCCAATGTTCTCATCACACCTCAGGAGAGAATTGTTTTCGCCGGAGACTGAATCCTGAAAAAGAATATTTTGCGGTGAGTGGACAGGAGAGAATACATTGTTTTCTATTTTTTGGTTCTTAATATGCAATATTAATAGTTGTAGTAATAATAATAGCAACAGTAATTATAAAAATTACTGTACAAACTTTGAAACTAATGTTTCTCTCTTATTATTAAATTGAATGAATTTTTGTCTTGCCCGCTCAAAATTTGGCACCAAGTTACGACCATTGAAGTTAAATCGACTAATTCTAGGGCTTCAAAATGTGATATTTAAAAAAAATGTAGGTATGTTGTAAATTATTTCATAAACATACTTTTATATAAACATGGTTTCAAAATTCACTATTTTGGGACTTTTTAAATAAATCATGAAATTTACATTTAATTTTTACTGTAACGGTAAGAACTAGGATGTTGAAATTTTGTATTAAAACAATGTAATGTTGATTTCTAACGAATCCCCCTCGGGATACGTAATGCTAGGGCTGGGCGCCAGGCGTGCTCGGCAGGAAGTCGCGAACAAAGTACCTTCCACGCCAATCTTCGACAGCAGCCGAAGATTTCTACGCGACAATTCTCGGTCGAGCCCAGATTACCTTCAGAATTTGTCTCTCTCTGGGTTAGATTTTCAAAGAGAATTTGATCGGGTGTGCTCAACATAAGCCACTGAAGGAAATTATGGTAATTATTTCAACGTGGTTCCTGAAGGGAGTCCACTAATTTGTTTCTTAAATGCTGCCTCCAGATGCTACCACAATGCTTGGCACTATTTTAACTTAAATTTTAAACAAAACTAAACAAAAGAAATAACAATTTAAATGCATTACAGTAACGATTTATTTCTTGATGATTTAAGAGTTCGCTTCATGACACTCAAATATTGTTGCTTCAACACTATCACAAAATCTTCGATTACGCGCATCTCGTGATTACAATGTAATTTCTCTACCTATAATTGATGTGACCGAGAATCGGTTGTCGCCACTCGAGGAAGTTAGCGCCCATTGACGCAATGGCCGCGGTGGCAGCGGGTCTGGACGCGCCTGCGAGAGACTCACGTGTTCCCGGGAAGGCGCCGGGCCGGTGAGGCTGGGTGAAGGGAGAGTCTCAGGGAGAGGGCGGGTGTCAGCTCCACTGGTCGGCGTCTTGGCAAAGTTCGCAATTGGTCAGGAGCACGGGCCGAAGAGGGCGATCCAAAGGCCTCCAGGAATAGCTGCAACCGCGATGTCTCAGGTGCGAAACATTAGCACACTTCGTTATTGTTGCAGACTCTGCTATCGTATGAGTGGTCACGTATGGCAGGCAGTCACCAAAACTGCAGGTGGCGAGTGTAAGTTGACGGCCAAGTTGAATTAATGGAGACAAGATTACGAAGTCCCTGCAGTTTCATTTAGTCGAAGTCAAGATTTCGTCTGTTCTGCTCAAAGTTACAATTTCGTCTGCTGTGCTCAAAGTCGGAAAACCGTCCGTGGCGCTCAGCGAAGAGTTCCTGCCTCTCCCTCGCAAAGTCTCGTTCCTCTATAATTCGTATCCTTTTGTCCAATTGAATTTGAGGAATTTCGTAACGCGGGGCTTGCATTGGCACCTTCCCTCCGGATTTGCTGCTAGTGTTGTCACCTGGTCTAGCTTCTAGACTTTTTATTCGCTCGCATACATCTGATCGGCTGTCCGTCACGCTCCTTTCTTCATCTCTTGCAGTATGCCCGTCTCGGAAGCAGCCAAGATTGCTTTTTATGCGAAAGGATTTCCACGGTTGCAACTCTATCAGAACTCAAAAGCCCTCGCCTACTGGTGGCATCCTCCTGGGATGTGAGGCGACAGAAAAGGGTGGCTCGGAGGGTGCCTTGGGGAGGGTCATTGTCGTCCTTTCTTCCGTGATGTGTATGAAGATGTCGAGTGCGTCGCGTGCTAGAAAAACTCCTCGGCGATTAGTAGCAAGCTAATGCATGTGACGTGGCGTTGTTCGCTGGGCGAACTCGATGAATCTTGGTGGCTGACAAAGAAGGGTGCTGATCATGGGTGTCAGATAATGCATGAGTTTAGGGGGAAACAAGATAAATTTCCCCCGGGCGACGCGTGGACGCGCGCGGGTGTGTGGCTCTCGGCTTGTGGCCGGGCCGTCGCGCAAACTGACGGCTCCTTTGCCTGCCCTAAAGTGGGTGCGGATTTATAACTTCCTACGGAGGTACTCGAAGCCACTTTCTAAGGAGCGACTTGAGCTACTCAAGTCTTCTGCTTACAAAGGATACCTTTTATAAAAAGAATGCGCTTAAAAATGAGGCCGCGGGGTCTAACCCGTCTCAATATGCTATGAGCCCAATTTCACTTTTCGTACTCAAATATTAAGGAAGCTGTGCAATTTTAAACATTGGATTTTTTAACCCTGTTGTTTCTCGACGACTTTGTTGCAATGTTCACATTAATAATTAAGTATTAATAAATACAAAAATAATATTAGTTTCACTGAAGAGAGCGGAAAAGTTGTACAAGTGAGCTCAGTTTTACTTGTCTATCAAAATCGTATGACATAGTTTCCCCAAATTCCGAAAATACGATAGCCGTAATGTACAACGAAGCAGTTTGGATTCAAAAATCTAATCTATATCTAAAACTAGTTCACTTACAAAGCTACAACTTCACAATAGTTTCTTTGAGACAACCAAAGTTTTATGAAAATTTCGTAACACGGGGCGAAAAAGGTTTCCGCGAAAAAGGTTACGCGGAATCCTTAGATCATGACATGGAATGATCCTTGGTAGGAAAAAAAAAACAACCAAAAATTGAACATAAGAATGTTTTTGTAGAAACAGCCATGGGAGTTAAACTTAATGCTCAAACTGAAGGTTACGCATCTTCCTATTTACAGAGCGTCAAGAGGTAAGTTCGTTTGAGATAACGACATTTTTTGGTTTAATTTCATGTTTGTTACAGTAACGATAGGTAACTTTTCTTTACAGTATGTGTGAATTGTTAATGCAAAGAAGTTCGAAACCCTGGTTGTATGTGGATTTCATATATCGTTTGACACATTTGGGATGGAAGGAGAGAAACAACTTGAAAGTTCTTCATGGTATGACAAATGAGGTGAGAGTTTTTCTGAATTCATTTATAAGAATGGAGAAACGAAAGACTACAGCCAAATAGTTTTATAAGTAGAAAATTTATGTAATTAAATGGATTACAGACAATACTCCTATCACGATGTAATTCGAGAAAATCGTAATTTACGGGGTTTGATAAAATAGTTCTATAATGAAGTGTGGTCTCTAGGATGAACATAATCGTGGCACAGTAATCTAATTTTATGGGACTCAGTTTTTTTAATAAAATTCCAATTCTGCTTGCGCTGTGTGATAGTATACAGCTAGTACGGGCTGGTTCAGAATAAATATTACAAACGTCTTGAGCATTTATGGGGATTCAGGATTAATACTATTTATCAACTATATGTGGTGGTAAATAACATTTAATGGAGTTACACACTTGACAATAGTGTCATTAAGGGTCCTGATCATCAGTTCTCATCCTTCACACTTGCAATAAACCTGCACTGGTGTGTGGCAGGTACACGAACTCTCAGGATCGACCTTCTCGTTGGCAATGACAATATGCTGTGGCTTTTTGTGTTAATTGTTTAGTTTTGAGTACAAAAATTGCTAGAAAAGTTCGATGCATGTGTGGTGCCGACGGCGCGTGTTGTGATGCATCCTCCCTGTATTCCTTTGTTTACTCTGGATGCAGCAGGCTGCAAAGGACCTCGTGCGATCCCGTGAAGACAATCTAGGGGTGTGAAACCTGGAGAAGTGAGATGTCAAGCAACAGTTGAGGTGACTCAATGCATCAACTGATGTCATTGCAGTGTTCTAACCGACTTTGAGTGCCGACGGGGAATTTTCGATATTACTTAAATAGCTAAGTCGAGTTCAGCCACAACAAAGAGCTGGCAGCTGGTGGGGGAGAGGTCTCCCCCTCTGGCGGGAGATACCTGGATGGCAAAACACCGCAAGTCGATGCCGTATCTCATCATTCAGCTGGGGGAGAACTGCCATATCCGGAGATAAAATAAGCGATACAATTACGGTAATAATGACCATAGCATTTGACGATCTCGAAAATACAAAATAACTAAACAAAGAATCGGAGAGCAAGTAACATGCCAATGTGCTTTTGCCAATTATTTGGCCGTTGTGTGTCTAATACATGTACTCTCAACACTCTCTCAAATCCTTGGACCGGAAGAGGTGGCTTAGGGCATCAACTGATGCCGCTGCAGTGTCTCTGAATTGAAGGTCCTAGGGTTCTAGTTCCGACGGTGCAAGATTTTCCTCTCTAGCGTGTCAGCTAGGTCAATTTCAGTCAATGCCTGGAGGATAATTCTAGCGACCTGGCTGTTCTGATTGGTAGTATTTCGTTGTTTCTCCGATAACACCAGGCGAATGCCAGAACAATATCCTAACAAATAGGCGCGCGATCTTTCCTTCCTATACCTTGCCCTATTCTCACTCCTATTCTCTCTCTTACTTACACACACTTACACTAACATGCACTACACTACCACACATACCGAAAGACCGGTCATGAGCTTAGAGCCTGTCCAGGCTGGGGCGGTTCCCCTCTGGTGGGGAACCTGACTTGTGGAAAACCCCGCTAGTCGACGGTAGATCGGCGCTGGATCTCGCCATCCAGCTAGAGAAGATCATCGCAAGTTATTCAGGGGTCTTTTATACCTCATTATTATCAACTTCAAACGATGCTTTTTTTGCTCTGCGAACGCAAGTAACCCACCTCATACTAATCCAACTTCAACTCGCCTCCCTGTAGCAATAAGCACCTACATCGTTTCCCTAGTAATTTTTTGATACGAAAGACTATGTATGATATGCTCCGTAAATGTAATATATTGTGTTTCTTTTAAATTAATTTGTATGTTATTGCTCATTTAACGATAGAAAATATTGAAAAATGCTTGAGTTAGTTAGAAGTTTGAAAAACAATTCTTTAAGTACATGCCCACGCAGCGATATTGTGCAAACTGTAAAAACAACAACAACAACACAGAAAAGAGCTTATATAGCGAAACGTTTTTCATCTCTCAATCTCCAAAATTACCTAGACTAAATTAAAGATAGTGGATAACGCAAATATGCTGACATAAATGAGCAATATGCTGGTATGAATTAAATATTTGGCACCCGAGATACTTTCGCGCATGGGAGGTTTACGGTGAATGTAAATTAAAATATGTAAGAAACAAAATCATCAATCATGATCTATTGCATTTTCTTTCTAGGTAATAAGGAGAAGAAAAAAGCAACTCCAAGAAGATCCGACATTATTTGAAAAAAATTTAGATGAAATCGGTAAAATGATAGTATTTGTGTGTCTAATTTAATACTTTAAATCAAAAACGATGTTTCAATATTAATGTATTTAAAGTAACTGCTATCATTATTTAACTAAATATTCATTAATAATATTTATAAATGTATATGTGGTGGTAAACGACATTGATGAAAATAAGAAATTACAAATTTTCAGGAAGAAAACGAAAATTGGCATTTTTGGATCTGCTATTGTATTCTTCCCTCAATGGCGATGTATTATCTGACGAAGATATTCGTGAAGAAGTTGATACTTTCATGTTCGAAGTAAACAACATAATATGTCATTTATGATTATACATATCATTCAGTTGTATTTAGCAATTATTAGATTGTACTTGCCAATTATTCCGTTCCAGGGTCACGACACTACTGCTTCTGCAATATCCTTCGCTTTGTACGAACTGTCACGGCGTCCAGATATTCAGGTTTGTGTTTCACCACAATCTATATTCTATAGAGGTGTGTATGGAATTTAAAAAAAACACTGCATTTTTAAAAACTCGTAAAATTACTAACATGTTGTTATACCCAAACAATTGTTTTTTTTCAATTTTTGCTTGTGTTCGGGTTAATCTTGGATACGACTAAATCAATTTCGATGAGATGTTCAACATTTTATCAAACAATTTAAACTACTTTTTTAGATCATGATTTTAATTATAAAACATTTTTAATAAAATACTCCTTTCTCGTCTCTTATCAAAATGGTATACAGTTGACCTTAAATCAACAAAAGTTTTTACTCGGCAGTCCGGGTGATGCCGCGTCCATGGCGAAGGTGCCGACTGCGATTCTGCCGATTCTGCGACCTTCATCGCGAGGAAGGTTTCCTTTGAGGAAGGTCGCAGAATGGCGACCGAAACATCGGCACCTTCGTCATGGACGCGGCGTCACCTGGACAGCCAAGTAAATACTGACTCTGGCCGCGGAAGCCTACGCTATAACATAAAAGTTACTGTCTACATGCGATTTCGAAAAAAAAATCCCTTCTCCCTTTCGACCTCCTAAAGCAGCGGGAACAAGAGGACCATCATTCGTCTAAGAAACCCATATACGCGCAAGTTCATCCCTAGAGAAGGTACGCAAATCTGCTTTTTGCATGGCAATGCGTTTTCGGATTTAACGAGTAACGTAATCACAAGCCTCACTAATCCATGTGAATAGTTCACTCGTATTCTCAGTTCCTTCATATAACACATTTAATATTTATTTTGCAAAGTTCTGGATAATTCATAAATTCACAGAATAAATAAAGTAGATAAATCAAAAAGGATTGTAATATGAGACATTAATTCATAAAACATGGTAATCCTTTCGTGTTACCACGAGGCTTCGACGCATAGTCGCAATAATTTGTATCAACTTTCTATATAAATTACCCCTACTCAATGGCTTTATTCTACCTTCCTCATTCGCAGGCGGTTGCCAGATTCGATTCAGAACTGGTAGACATGTGCAAAATCGTATTCCAATAACGGTTCCCTTGCAGGCTCTACGCATATTTCCTCAAACGAATGCTTGCGTTTGTACCATGAATGTTCTTCGACATTCGTACTGTGCACGCCTAGACCTGTTCCTAGACCGGTCCGCTCCGTCGGCCATCGATTTTATACTCTCGGCACCGCGCAGCGTGCTATGTTTGAATACCCAGTCTCATGACGCGGAATCTACAAATTGCCAGTGCCTCTCCACAAATAGATCACCCAAAATATGCTCTCTGAGACAAGACCAGAAATATGATTTCTATTTTCAATATTAATTTCATTGTTGATTACTCTAAATTCGTTACTCTAACTTTTTCAGGAAAGAATTCTTGATGAGTTAAGAGAAGTAGTACCTGATGATAAATTGGAAGAATTATCTCTTAATTTAGAAGACCTAAACAAGTTGAAATATCTAGAACAAGTTATAAAGGAAACACTGCGGCTCTACCCTAGTGTTCCAGTATTTGGAAGACAGACAACGGAAGATCTGCATCTTCCTTCCAGTGAGTGAAGCAAGGATAACTCGTGATATTTCAATAAGCTTCAATTCTCCTTTAAAATTACGTATCACTTCTTGGCTGCATTCAAAGTTTTTTTTTCTTCTTTTGAGCAAAATAATACCGAATTCTTTTCATTTGCTCGACTGATCCTTTGACGTGGATTATTTATTTTAAAATTTTTTTTTTCAGTGTCAGTCGACGTCCCTCCAAACACGACTGTTGTAGTGGTCTCAATGCTCTTACATCGGAATCCCAAGTTTTATCCAAATCCAGAAGAATTCAATCCGGATAATTTCTTGCTGGAAACTGTTTCCAAGAGGCACCCTTATGCTTATGTGCCTTTCAGCGCTGGATCCAGAAACTGCATTGGTAAAAATATGAATGAGAAGTGTTGCAAAACGTTCGAACTCTCAAGGGGGACCGTGGGAGAGAAGCACCTTCCAAACTTTATTTCAACATACAGAATCCGAAACTAAAGCGAATAAGAACGGTTTAAAAATTGAATGATAATCAGAACACGTTCTTCTTTTAGTAAGCACTGCTGTAGCACCAGCCAAATGAAAAGGCTTTGGTTTCACTTTCCTGATTTTAAAAAATCTTCATAATTCCTAGTAACTTGCTACGCTCGGTTCTCCTCTCAAATAGTGACTCAGAGTGCAGAGCTAGTACCCATTTAAGCTACGTAGCGGCTGAGTTTAGCTCAGAGTCAGCATTGCGGAAGTTTTCACGCGTCTCTGTCAGGGTTCGACTCCCGACGGTGGCGGATTTTGGACACTCGCTAGACAGTTGGATCGAATTCAGCCGCTGTCTGGACGAGAATATTAGAGGTCGGTTGCTCTGATCGGTAGTTTTCCGTGCTTTCTCCAATCAACCAATCAACAGTTGAAAACCGGATCAGTACCCCAACAAACGAGCCACGGGTCGCTCACTATCTTTCCTTCTTCTTTCTCGTCCAAACCTCACCCTTTACTTACACTCACGTGTACTACACAACCTCACTTGCTGGGAGGTCAGTCGTGAGCTGAGAGCTTGATCTGGATTGGGGGATGCCCCGACGGTGGTCGGAGACAAGCCAGCAAGCCGACGTGTCGGCGGCGCCGGATCTTGCTATCCCACGAAGATCACCGTCACCTCCCGGCAGAACAACTCACTACACTAACGGACTATTGCAGTTGACGTGCCTGGAAACATGAATCATCTTAAGCTAAGTACCTCAAATAAAAGGTGACGTGAATAGGCGATTGTAAATACAAAATTAATGGTAAAACAGTACCTTGCGTAATTGAAAATCAAAGGATTGTGTAATGAAAGTTACTTTAAATTTTTTTATTGAAGGTATTTTGTTTCATAATAAGCACTTTAAGCACAGCACAGTGTACAGTAATCCAGAGCAATATTTCTACCGCTCTATGCCACTTGGGGGCATCTGCGCAGGCGCAACTCAAACTGCGCGTGCGCGGAAGGTCGAGCTGTGAGCTTGAAGTCCCTAATTTCTTCGTTTAAAATTATCGTGTTTTCTGCCTGGCCAAGACAAGAATCGGCGAAACTCTCGTTTCAACGATGTTTTTGAATGGGGGTTCCCAACAATTTCAAAGAGGGTCAATGGAGACTAATGGGGCTCAATGGCTGAATACGAACGGCCGGTTGATCGGAATAATTAAGATATCATTGGTTACCGAAAAACATATTAGTGTTAATTGTTTTCTGATATGAAGCTACACAACAATTAATAATAAACTTTACATTCACTCTTTTTTATTTTTGTTATCATCTTTCATCATTAATATGTCAGAACTAAGGAAATTATAATTATCAATCCACTACTATGTATTCATTACTACATCACGCAAGAAAATATTCTCCAATATACGCAAAAATGCGAAAATGTCAAAAATGCTCAACATTTTGTAATCATCGCAGAAAAATTAAGATTAGAGACTAATTTACTCGGTGGGGGAAGTATCTCGAAGTATTGTTGAAAATTGAGATATTTACGAATGTATCGTTGAGTGGAATTATCTGGAAGTCGTTAATATGTAATTATTTGCTTTATAATTATATGTTGAATATTATAGAGAAACACAAGAGGAATCGATGAACAAAACAATTCTTTCAGAATTATCTAAGCAAAAAAGTTGGCAGTCTCTATTCTATAGTGTTATTATTACTACGAAATTATTCAATAAAAACATAGCAAAACTTTAAGGAACCGTTTAAAAACCGAAACGTTTTTTATCAAAAAACAAAACATAAACCGAAATGTTTTATTAATTGAAGTCACTCAAAGTTATTTGAAATGGAGTGATCCCTTGACTTTTACTAAATTTATTCTAATCCCTCCCTCATATAGATTGCATCACATTCAAAGACAAATTCTCATCCCGGACACACGGTGTTTTAAGTGAACAATTGAAAAACTACTGTTTAAAAAAATATTATGGAAGAGGTGAGTGCGAAGTTCCCTGAAAGCTTTTCCTAGATCAGTCCCTGTCCCTATTATAAATTATGATTGCCTATTTATTTCAGTTGCAATAAAACATTAGAGCTATTGGATTCCCCAAAACTATCCAAGAACCTATTCCAAAATAATATTGTCCCACGAATCGTAACTCAATTCGCAAAGTGTTGATGTAACATAATATGAAGGAAGGTAGTCTCAAATTGGGAGGAAAAATCCTCTTTGTGAATCAGTTTTGAGTCTATACAAGTAAAGACAGGGTAGATTCCACAAAATCATTCTAGTGGTAATCACAAGTGTCAGTACATAATTATGATGTCTGAAATCCTTTTTTCTTTGTGCATTATTTTTTTTTCACGTTGTTCTACTTCTTTGCACAACGAATTTTTCTCTTATACGTAATGTGTGTGTGTACATTTTAGAGGTTATTATGTTAGACGTTTTATTTATTTATTATTAAATGTTCATGTCATTACAGTAATTCATAAACTTTTCAATTTTACATGTCATTCTGGTTCCAGGTCAAAAATTTGCGATGTTGGAAGTGAAAGCAGTCCTGGCAAAGATTGTCTGGAATTACTCTCTGCAATTAGACCCCACTTTCGAAATGAAATTTGTTCCTGAAATAACTCTCAAATCAGAAAATGGAGTGAGATTATCTGTTGTTAGGAGAATACGTACATAACTTCCGCATTGTTTTTATTTGTATTATTGACATATATTACAAAATACTATTATATTAAATGCTGAGTTGTTAGAATGTTATATAACATTAAATTATGTATTACATCAAAGATGTCTTGCCATAATTTCTTCAGTGGCTTGACAATCCTATAATTTCTCAAAACATGGATAGTGTAATTACCCTGATATATTCTAGGACTTACAATTCAAATCTAACATTTTTTTTTCATTCTGCTCATAGTATACTTAGTTATTCTGGTCATAGTATACGTGGAATTTTACTTTTTAATTTAGTCTTCTGAACATGTAAAGTCAAAAAGAATTACAGAAGTTTGCGAGGACATTTGCTTAATCCCGATCTATGTTAAAAGGTGCTGCAAAGGGCCCACTGCATCGTACTTCCTATTCGTTCAATACCATCTTCCGTCGATCCTTGTTTCAAAGTGCTTTTGTCTGGCAGATGTTACGGGACCCTCGTGATAAATACAAACATTGAGAGTTGGCAATAAGCTAAAGAGAACTTACTGTTTTATTTTTCAGTATATTATTGTAGTACACAGATTAGCACTGTAATTTTCAGGTAAAAGTGAAGATTTTCGACAGAAATAGAGTTTATGGGACAGTGGACCGTTACTTCTCGAATAGTAGTTTACGTAACAAGGGCTCGGAACATGTGATTCACGCATGAGTCGAGTTTGACAAAGAGACAAGTACAGGAATTAACTCGCGTCCGTGTTGCGTATACTATTCTTTAACTCGCCGTGAGTGAAAAGCAATGTGTCAAGTAAAAGAATATAAATTAAATATCGAATGTCTAGAAATACCTTACGTTTACAAAAGTAAATGTATTCCAGACAGTGTCATAACACTATTGTTTGTAAATAATAAACAAAAACGTCGAAAAACAATTGCGAATCGTTACAGGTGTTTCGCATACGTATCGCGGAGTTTCGCACACGGAAAACAAGCACGAGAAACCGCGTTTCGCGCACGGCCTGTTAAGAAGGTACTTTCGGCAGAAAGTCCGTACCCTCTGTGAGAAAACGTAGCACCTAAACTGTGCACAGAATTTTCACCAAAATCAATTTTACCCATTTGTCTAATATCGCGAGCCCTCAAATTTGAAATGGATATCTTCAGGGGGTAATTTACATGAAGCCCTTTAAACATATTCTATTTGTTTTGTTTTTTTTCAAAAATGGATCCAAATTTTTTCTTTAATTTTTTTGTTCGAACACCTACCTACTTCGGGAGCTACAGTTAAGTTTTAATGGTTTGATATTTAATTATTTTCTCTTTGATTCACTGAGTTGTTTCATGCTAGTCCCGGAACTGTTAGCTTCATTCCTGGACATTTAACAGACACTTATTGCAGTATGTGCATTTAATTCATTTTATACACTCTTATAAAATAGGGCGCATATAAATTTCGTTAAAACTTCTGACTTTTCGAAAACTGCGGAAGTTAAATATTTTTTCAACCCCATTCCACCATGGAAAATTGAAGTTTTTTTTCGTAATGTCACTCTCTTCTAAAAATCGATTTAATAAAGATATGTATAATTTTAACTTACTCGTCTACGTGTGTACGTACGGAAGTAGTACACGGAAGTAGTATAAGTAGTGTCGAGAAAGTTAAGTAATCCTGCAGAATATCGATTTCAAGATTAAAAAGAAAATGTTTGGTGGTCCCCTGATACCGATTTTATTTTATTATATATGATATTAGTGTTACTTTCAAAACGCCCGTCTTTCTTTCCTCCCGCCTGTAAACAACACTGGCGCCTAAATTATTCGTAGGATTTTTTCCAAAATGAATATTCTCCAATCGGGCTGGCGCCACTCGAGGTCCTTTGAATTTCGCAGGTACTTCACTTGGAATACTTAAGATGTTAAATTTTCTCAAAAAAGCTCGAACTTTTCTCTTTAAATTTTTTGGAAGAATAGAAAGAAATACTCTGGTAAAGACAACAGTGATACGATTTTTACTGTTAACTGTGAATATTCGAAAATTGGAAAAGTTTTTTCAAATGACATTTGTTCAGCAATTACAACCGTACAGTTGTTCGATTGTACAGCAACAGCAATCAGTTATTTAATAATTAGTTCTTTCGTGTACATTGTGTCTACATATTAGTATTTTACGCATAATTTTAAGTTATATGTGGACACTATTAAAATGATTTTTCAAATACGACTCTTAATTTCTTTCTTTAAACTTTTTGCGCGGATAAAGCTAAATGCACTAACCAGCATGATGTAAACGCCATTTTGATGTATTGTTCTTTTTAGTTGACAAAAATTACACAAATGTTATTTTCAAATATCTCTCACGTCGTTAATATTTACATTAAAGGCGTTAACACCTACTTGACTTTGCGAGTACATATGGATCAAATCTGACGATGTTTTTCGAAAACCCATAGATTTTGATGAAAATGAGCACGAAGTCGTGCATTTTCAGAAAAGCTTACAGACCAAAAGCCATAGAATTCTAAGGTCTTTGGACCGGAATCGTTGAAAGATCTCTGTATTTGATTTGAGTGCTAAAAAATTGAACGTCGCGCCAAAAGTCTATATTGTCTTGAGAATGGCTTTGTAGATACGGATTTTGTTTCGGAGGGAGATAGAATACCAGCGTACTTCAATAAAGTTTTATCAGTTTGACATTTCATTCTTTTCTTTGTGTAAATGTGTTTTTTCATGTTAGTTTCGGATGTAGTTGCATTCGTAAGCAGATGAGACACTTCAATAAGTGTCTGTTATTAGTCAGTAGGTGCATGTAATTCATTTTGATAGGGAGCTATTATTATGTATAGAAATTAATGTTACTTGGACTCGTTTGGTTTCGTTCGTTTTCAAACGCCATCTCTTGAACTGAAAGATGTCGCATGATCGCGACCATATCCAGTAGTGCTGGCGATCATGCGACATCTAGCGGTACGACGGAGAATGACGCTAAATACCGTGAGATATTCCAACGCGAAGATATGCCCTCACGCGTCAAAAAATAAAACCCAAGTATAAATGCGGTTCTGGACACATTATACTTGTCGGGCCATTTCTCTTCCGGTGCAGTAGACATATCCAAAATGATGTCACAACGTTTGGCGGGAAAGTGTTGGGTGACAACCTCTGCTGTTTGCATAAGCGATTCCTAGAGATCAGGTAAGTTTTTGGCTGTATAATGCGGTTGCGCATGTCTTATCACGTTTGTTATTTACAATTATAGTTTTCTTTCAATTTGTTTAGGTTCTGACTGCTCATCTCGGTCACAAATTTTATTCAGAGAGGCGCTATTCAATCAGATATACATCAAGACTATCATTTCATGACTTCTTGGCTGTCCGGGTGACAACCCTGAGGAAGCCTGCGATATGGCAGGCGATACTTCGGCCTCTCAGCCAACCATGCGGCATCACTCAGACAGCCAAGAAGGCATGAACTTGAGCCGCGGAAGCTTACGTGTACAGTCTTTACATATTGAAAATCGTTCGAAGTAAATATTATCATGCCGTTAGCGATGATGCTAAGGTGCTAATTTGTCATAAAGCGAAATCTATGAAACATTTCGATCTACGTGCCCTTTCATCAGGTATGAAAAGTACCAAAGAATTTCGAGCCCCTGTATCATTCAAGAATGTGACTCCTTCCGTATGTTTTTATAAACTCGACTTTTTTAATATTTACTTTAGAAAATTGTATTAAGTATTATGATTTTCACAAATATTACCTACATTACACTTTAATAATCTTTGGTGAAAACTTCAGAATGTTCATAAACACAATTCCAAAAATATTCGTAATTTTTCACGGAGTAGAGGAACTTTCAACACTATGTTAATCAGAATTGTATATGATTTAACGTATTAATCTTTCTATGTATTAATTATAATAAATACAGAATGTCCCACCAACTATAGGCCTCCATAACTTCTAAAAGGTTCATGATATCGAAGTGCAGCTTTCGCTCAACAATGCGGAATCATAGGGCAAAAAATATTCTGTAGAAAAATCGTCTGTAATATTTTTAATTTTCGAGAAATTTAATTATCTTCCTTTTTTAAATAAAACTATATACTTTTCTCGTCAGCAATAGATAGATCATAAAAAGAGGAATACAGTGATATTTCATATGTTAGTATATTGATAATAATTCGAGTACAAAATTAGACTTTCCGACATGTGATTATAAATTAAACGGGCATTTTCTGTAGGAGCCCTTGCAACTGTCGCCTGTGGGGAAGCTGGACTTCGCGGCGCCGAAACTGTTTGGGGGAGAGAGGAGACCTGAGGGAGACTGAACGGTATGACAATGAGCGGTTGAGGTGAAACTACAACAATTCTTGGTATTGCCACGACTGATACAGGAACAAACATCAATAATAACGATAAAATTAAAGCTTTTTGTCATTGATTCATCAGAATTAAACTTCCCTTCGGTTGAAAATCCAAAGCTTAGAATGATGTATTACATTACAAATGCCTACAGACAGTCCATGTAATTATGACATTTACCCGCTCATTTTAGACCAAAACGTACTGTCAAAATCGCGTTTAATAATTCAATGTTCATTTTGTTTCTATGCTTATTTTTAACCACATTCACTTGGCCTCTCTATTTTGGCATTTGAATGTGGTAAAACCAAAAAGGAAAAGGCAAAATCCGAAAATTCTTTGAAAGGTTGTACTCCAGCAGCGTCGACATAATTAATCACCTCATTCCAAAATGAGACAGTGCTTTCGTTTTCATCCCATATGGTCAAAATCATATTGAAATTCAATCTTATCAATTAAATCGTTGAACATACTGCGAAAATTGAAAAGCGGAGTGAGTTTAGGTTTTATTGCACATAAACAGTTTTTGATTGATAACGTAGACATAGTTTCTAACGTTTCAATATTATCAGGGAAGCGTTGCTTCAACTGCTTGAAAAGCACTAATAAAAGCTGAATGCAGCGACACGAAAACACGTCTCTTCCTCCATTGAATGTTTCCCTTGTTTTTGAGTTCCTGCAGTTTTGCTCTACAGCAAAATTATGTCTACGTGGTCGTCTGTATCACACTGCAAGGGATTTACATCACATGTAGGTAACAATCTTCCGCGCAATTGAAAGTGTCAAAGTCTTTAAATCTGTCAACAGTTTTGTTGGATCAACTGTATGAGATTCAAAGATCTTGTTCACTATCTGGACTTCTGAAAAAATCGGATTTATTGCCAGCAGATAAGCAAGGTTTAACTAATTTTGGTACAGGCTATACAAAGTTTCAGCAGCGTAACATTTATCTTTGCTTCGTGCCTTACCAAAATGAGTTTTTAACTCTATCCATTGATCCGATACTTACTTAACGGCTCGTTCTATCGAAAGCCACCTTGTGCCAGATATGTGAGGAATTTATTGCGGTCCTTCTCCATCATTAAACAGCTGATACAATTGCCGATATGCTGACTGTCTTAAAGCTGATTTCGGGTACTACTCACGACTACGACTAAGGATAAGCAACTGTCTTTTTTTTATCCCGCATGAAGTGCCTGATAGAAAATGACCAATGCTTATGAATGCATGAAATAGATAAGGACAAATGCTTATTCTTTGTCATAGCCGTCATTATTGGTGTATTCGAGCATAAATATTTTAAAATAATAATAAAGGACGCACTTATGTAGACTGAATTGTCTGTCTTTTATTATTGTTTAAAAATGTTTCTGCTCGAACACGCTATATGTGTCCAGGCCTTAATAGTGAAGATTTGAATTCCGTTTATTTTCCGCCGTCTTTATTAATTTCCACCGTTTATTCCGCTGTCCTCGAAACTAATATTTTTTCCGCCGTACGAGTTCAAAATCCGCTGAAAACGGCGGGAATTCCGCTGATATGGCAACACTGCTGACGATAGTTGACGCAGAGTTTAGTAATAATTTAAGTTCATAGTTTTCTTCTTCTTTTCTATTATAACATACGTTTTATTTTATTTTTGTAAGTTTTCATTGAGAAGTAGAGTAATGGAAATTATAACAAAATTTCTACCTTTTTATAATCTGATGCTTTGGAGTTATTTTCAACCTTGAAAATGAAAGGTTGCTTGTACGAGTATTTTAAAATTCAGTCTTGCTCTTGTAGCTTTAAACATCGTGCTCGATTCTTGTTAAATTTGAAACTGACCTTTGTTAGTATCTTCCACACACTATCAATTTCTTTATATCGTTTATTTCAATGATCGATGCTTTTAAATTTTAATTAGTGAAAAAATGAATTCAGATGAATCAATGAAAAAATCATTTATTTTTATCATGAATCTAGATTACTGTTCCTGTATCAGTCTAGTCAGTAATATTTGCGCTGTCGCCTTTGTCAAACTCCCCCCCCCTTCGTAACGCCGCGAAGCGAAGGTCGCCTTCCCCAACGAGAGCAGAGGAAGGCTGGGGGCTGCTACAGGAAATATTGCCCGTTTAATTTTAAATCACATGTCAGAAAGTTAATTGTATACACAAATTACTATCAAAATATTAACATATTGTACATCATTGTCATTGTATTTTTATGGTCTATCCATTACTGACGAGAAAAAATATTGTTCCATTTAAAAAATCGAAGAAGATTAAATTTCTCAAAAAATAAAAAAAAAAACTTCAGGCGATTTCTCTACAGCATATTACTTGCCCCATGATTCCGAATTGTTGAGTGAAAACTGTACTTCGATATCATGAACCGTTTAGAAGTTATGTGATAGCCCATAGTTGGTGGGACACTCTTTATATAGTTATTTAAAAATATAAATGAATTTAGAACATTTAGCACTTTTTAGGACCTTTAAAAATATTTGCAGTTTCCTGTACTGAATTCAAATTTTGATGGTTAAATTTGAATATCAAGGCACGCGTTTAAAAAAACTTGTGTTATCCCCAATGCTTTAATGTTCGCATTTTTAATCAAACGTTTCAAGTATTTTGCAATACAATTACTACATAAGACTTAATGTCTCAATAAGACCTGGTGGCAGAAGTAATAAGTTGATTTGGTGCGCTATTTCATATTTGAACTTAGCTTTTAAACAAATAGTTTTGAAGATATTATTATGCTTATTTTTGTGCCAGCTGTGTCCTTTTTATTGAGTTGTTTATAATGTGAAAATGTGGAAAAGCTACATACGTTTACATGCAAAACATCTGAGAATGATAGAAAAATGTTTAGATGATTAATCGTTTGAACTGCGAATTATGAAGTTTGTGTTACCTGTATGTGGTCACTATTGACTTGAAATAACAATCTAACATGAGAAATGAGAATCTCCCTTGAAACCTGAAATCCACATTGTTCTCTTTCCAAGGATGCTGTAATTTTACTTTCTTGATTTCTAGTAACGGTAGGGAATCTAAAAAAATATTACTCTGCCTCTTCCGCCCCTTTTGTCAGAGTCCAGTACCGCACACTATTTGTTTATCGAGAAATTACAACAAAATAATAATTCACAAAACAAAACAAAAAAACTTAAAACAAAATCTCTTACACAAAAATTCTCTCTCACAAAACTATTTCTCTCTCTCTCTCTCTCTCTCTCTCGCAAAACTATTGGCTCTCCCTCTCTCTCTCTCTCTCTCTCTCTCTCTCACACACACACACACACACACACAAAACTTACTCTTACTCTCTCACAAAACAAGAACTCTTACAAAAAAAGAGCTTCTCACTGCAAGAAAGTGAACCTACACTAAATAAAAACGTTTTAAACCATTATAGGCAGAGGAAAACCGCCAACAAAATGTGATCTAGACGAACTAAACAATATACACGCGTGTACTGTATTTTAGCCATTACTTCGCGGCTTGCACTTGTAAAAATACTGCAAAATGTGTGTTTATATGTCAACCCATTTTATACTTATGTCGTCCGTCGAGGATAACAGAAAAATTGAAGTCTTTTCACATAGAACTACTAAATGGCTAAATTACAGTACATTAATATTAGAACATCAGATATTCACGATAAGGGAGAAACAATTCCCTGATTACGAACATTTCTTGCTGGAATCGGTGAAGGACGGATGACTGGCCTGAATGACATACAATGCATTTTTGTATTAAGCATTGGTTTTGTTAACATAATTGCAACTTCTTCTCCAAACTATGGTTCAAATCCATATTGACAATGAAATACTGCCAGATACGTGCAAATTTTTTTAAAATTTACATTCTTAATATTTCTGAAGGCAAACAACGAATGAAAATGGGCAGGGTATTGGCTTCTTTTCATGCAAGGCAGAACTTATAAAAGATACGAGAATCAAAAACAATTCCCTGATTATGATGAACGTCTGAAGAAAGTCAGGAATGACAAAGCTGAATCGTACACAAACATTGATTAGATAATCAGAAGGAAAACAAGACGTTGGGACAGGCAGGTGCTTATTTTTCATGTGCACTTCGTACCAGCGATCGACAATCCATGGTAAGTTTAATCCGATACAAATTTTTCTCATAATTTTATCGCCCAACCTTGGTGCGTCGCGCTTAAGTCACTTGTTAGGGTAGTCCCCAATCTTTCGTTTGCCAGAAACTCTGGGATTAAGGAGTAAGTTCCAGGTTCCGAGCTAAT